TCCTAGAAACAGGGAAGCTTTCTGGGGACTCGACTGCCTGCTCATATGGAGCTGCAGCTCATGCAGGAGTTTTATGTTGGCAGGAAGCAAAACAACATGGAAGCAGGTGATGAGTTTCTAATTTAGTGTCAATTCCACTGATGGAGCAAATTACAAGTCAGTCGTCCTCCAAACCACTGGGAGAAGCTTCCAGAGGAAATCTGAGATTGTTCTGACAGTCAGACTCTGTCAGGATGACCATAGTCTTCTGGCTGAGTTCCTGACATGAAGGAGACACAAATAATATAAAGATCATTAATTATCAGTCCTGCAGTAAATACTGACTTTGTGAAGGTTTTGGTGTTAAAGTCATTTAGTTCAAACATCTTGACATCTTGATTCAGCTCTTATTTTGTAGGACAGGAAATGAGATCTTACCTTTGTAAACTTTGTGTGCAACAAACTTCATTAGTGACTGAAATCATCCTCATGTGGTTCACCTGGAAAATAGATTTAAAAATGACTCGTCTTCACAATCAGGTTGTTCTTTATGATAATGTTCCCATTTCTGCAGCGTCTCTGATGGAGGATTCAGAACTTGAACTAAATGACCCAAATCAATCTGACAGAGAAAAGACTCAATATTTTCTAGTTGATAGTTCAGGAACTGAATCACCACAAAATGAGAAAATGATCAACTTTCAGAATCTGAGCTGTAATGGATGTTGTAAAACTCTGAATTAGACGGATTGAAATAAAACGTTTACATCTGTCATACTTAGCAATGAGCTGCAGTTAAAATACAACCAGCAAGAAAAACATCATTAATAGATTAATGACCAAAAACTGGAGACATAAAATATCTGATGATAAATGAAGGTACAGAGCAGTCAGCTGATACAGAGCCTGGAAGGAAACATGGAGAGAAAAACATCCGACTGAGTTTAAGATCCTGAGAAACTTTTAGAAAAACTTTGAGTTTCTTTGTTGATCAAATGTTCTGGTTCTGCTGGTTTGGACTCTTTAAACCAGTTTGACTGGATCAGATGTTAGAATCAGTTCATCATGTTTCTTTTACATTCAGGAAAATTTATTTTCTACATTTTATTATTTATTTGTTCATATTTCAGTTTTAACTGCATCCTGTTGGCTTCAGCTCATCTTTTATTCTTTATTCAGATTGAAGTTCTGCAGTTTGTCAGAGACCAGCTGGACGTCTCTGTTCTCAGCTCTGAAGTCCAACCCGACCCATCTGACAGAACTGGACCTGATCGGAACCAACCTGGAAGGTTCTGGACTGAAGGAGCTCTGTGGTTTTCTACAGACTGAAGGCTGCAGACTGAAAACATTGAGGTTTGTAATTATATAATTATTGATATTTCAGTGAATAATTATCTATAATTGATCATAAATCAAAGTTCATATCTTTGTTCTAATAAATATTTTTTGAGTTTGTTCCTGGATCCAGAGTTTAATTTAGTCCCTCTGTGTAACTAACTGAGTTGGACCTGCTGACCTGAGGTCAGAACAGGACAGCATTCAGACCCCCAGTGTGTAAAAATCCCCCTCATGTCAAGCAGGTCAAAGGTCAGCTCAAAAACAGAGAAAATGAAAATCTCCCTTTATTGAAGTTCCTCAAATCTCACACTTAGTTTTAAATGTTCTGCTATTAGTTGATAATAATCCACTCCAGGTGTTTTAATGTTTAACAAGAGAAGATTTAAGATGCTGGTTGTAGTGAATAATTAGGTGGAATCGCCCTTTATCCATTTCCTGAATCACAAACCAACTTCAGCTTCGTCTGAAAAAATCCAGACCACTGAGTTTTTCTCTGAGCTCAACAGGCTGCAGGTTCTTCTGGACATGAGTATTCTGGTCCAGACATCAGAACCAGCAGAGACTGCAGCACATGAATCTGGACCAGGTATGTTAGGAGGTTCTGCACATGCTCAGACTGAAGGTTCACCGTCTGACAGAGAAAGTCGACCAACTCTGGATGAAATTGTTCCTAGAAACAGGGAAGCTTTCTGGGGACTCGACTGCCTGCTCTTATGGAGCTGCAGCTCATGCAGGAGATTTATGTTGGCAGGAAGCAAAACAACATGGAAGCAGGTGATGAGTTTCTAATTTAGTGTCAATTCCACTGATGGAGCAAATTACAAGTCAGTCATCCTCCAAACCACTGAGAGCAGCTTCCAGAGGAAATCTGAGTTTGTTCTGACAGTCAGACTCTGTCAGGAGGACCACAGTCTTCTGGCTGAGTTCCTGACATGAAGGAGACAGAAATAATACAAAGATCATTAATTAACTGTCCTGCAGTAAATACTGACTTTGTGAAGGTTATGGTGTTAAAGTCATTTAGTTCAATCATCTTGATTCAGCTCTTATTTTGTAGGACAGGAAGTGAGATCTTACCTTTGTAAAGCTTTGTGTGCATCAAGCTTCATCATTTACTGAAATCATCCTCATGTGGTTCACCTGGAAAATAGATTTAAAAATGACTCGTCTTCATAATCAGGTTGTTCTTTATGATAATGTTCCCATTTCTGCAGCGTCTCTGATGGAGGATTCAGAACTTGAACTAAATGACCCAAATCAATCTGATAGAGAAAAGACTCAATATTTTCTAGTTGATAGTTCAGGAACTGAATCACCACAAAATGAGAAAATGATCAACTTTCAGAATCTGAGCTGTAATGGATGTTGTAAAACTCTGAATTAGACGGATTGAAATAAAACGTTTACATCTGTCATACTTAGCAATGAGCTGCAGTTAAAATACAACCAGCAAGAAAAACATCATTAATAGATTAATGACCAAAAACTGGAGACATAAAATATCTGATGATAAATGAAGGTACAGAGCAGTCAGCTGATACAGAGCCTGGAAGGAAACATGGAGAGAAAAAACATCCGACTGAGTTTAAGATCCTGAGAAACTTTTAGAAAAACTTTGAGTTTCTTTGTTGATCAAATGTTCTGGTTCTGCTGGTTTGGACTCTTTAAACCAGTTTGACTGGATCAGATGTTAGAATCAGTTCATGTTTCTTTTACATTCAGGGAAATTAATTTTCTACATTTTTATTATTGTTTATATTTCAGTTTTAACTGCATCCTGTTGGCTTCAGCTCATCTTTTATTCTTTATTCAGATTGAACAGCTGCAGTTTGTCAGAGACCAGCTGGACGTCTCTGTTCTCAGCTCTGAAGTCCAAACCGACCCATCTGACAGAACTGGACCTGAGCTTCACCAAACTGGAAGGTTCTGGACTGAAGGAGCTCTGTGGTTTTCTACAGACTAAAGGCTGCAGCCTGAATTATTTGGGGTTTGTAATTATATAATTATTGATATTTCTGTGAATAATTATCTATAATTGATCATTAATCAAAGCATAAATCAAAGTTCATTTCTTCTGTTCTAATAAATATTTTCTGAGTTTGTTCCTGGATCCAGAGTTTAATTTAGTCCCTCTGTGTAACTGAGTTGGACCTCCTGACCTGAGGTCAGAACAGGACAGCATTCAGACCCCCAGTGTGTAGAAATCCCCCTCATGTCAAGCAGGTCAAAGGTCAAGATGCAAAATGAGAGAGCGATGGGCAGATGAGGCCTCGCTGGATGTGGCACATTTCCCAAACTGTCGACATTGTGCTGAGACTGTTGCTTTGTCACTTACAGTGACATCTGCTGGATTTAGAAAGTCATTGCAGGTAAATTCGGCACATGAAATAAAGACAGGAGGAGTGTTAACTGGTTCATCCTCCTCATGCCGGACATGTTGACGCCTCCGCATTGTGGAAGTGCTCCTGTTACAGTAAGACAAAACCTGGGAGCAAATCCTACATTTTTCACCTTCAATATGACTAAAAGTTAATCCATGTAAAACGAATTCAAATATCCCATGGAAAGGAATTTTAATAATCCGAAAGAAAAATTATCAAAAGTAGAAATGAGAACGGAATAATTATTTTCCGTTATAAGATCAAAATGATCCCACATGGGAGAAAACTTCCTCTTCCTCTGTTGATCCATGCGGGGATTCAAATACGAGGCAAAAACCAAATCACAAAGTATCTCCATCCAACAAAACCCACAAACGTGTTGATACAGTTTCTCCGTCATCAATACAATTTGGCGCGGTCACATCCAAACGACACGGGAACTGTATCGGTCACGTGGTTTTCCTTAAAGTGATACGCGCACCGACACAGAGTTTCATCTTGTTTGCTTGGTGCATGTGCCGAGGTTTCGGTGTCGTCTGGCCCATCACTTATAGATGGTATACATACAAATGACACCACAAAAGATGAAAGATGGATTCAGATGCGTGTGCATTACTGTCAATCATCAAGCACCATGTAAACAGATTTCCTGTTTTCTGTGATGTCACTGTTTTGACTATTCACAAAATCCCTTGTGGGGGATGCTAATGCTACGCTTGCAACAACTCTAACAGCACACAGATGTTAGAATCAGTTCATGTTTCTCAGACTTTTACATTCAGGGGAATTAATTTTCGACATTTTTATAATTTATTTGTTCATATTTCAGTTTTAATCTGCATCCTGTTGGCTTCAGCTCATCTTTTATTCTTTATTCAGATTGCAGATCTGCAGTTTGTCAAAGACCAGCGGGACGTCTCTGTTCTCAGCTCTGAAGTCCAACCCGACCCATCTGACAGAACTGGACCTGAGCGGGACCCACCTGATAGATTTCGTAGTGGAGGAGCTCTGTGGTTTTCTACAGACTCGTGAATCCAGTCTGGAGATATTGAGGTATATAATTATTGATATTTCAGTGAATAATTATCTATAATTGATCATAAATCAAAGTTCATTTCTTCT